AGGTAATTGCATCACATATACTCAAAGGATCATATTTTAAACTCGTCCCTAAAATTTTAAATGTTCTAATTTTATCACTAAACTATGATTATCGTTCTAAATTAGTCCTCAAACTTAATTTAGAAAATTAGAACGTTCGAAAGTGTAAGGACTAATTTAGAATGAGAGTCATAATTTAGGGATAAAATTGGAATATTTTAAAGTTTAAGGATCAATTTAAAATGAAAGTTATAGTTTTGGAGACACATAATACAGTTAACTCTTTTTTGATGGGATGTAAGTGATTAGTTATAAGATTTGATATGTGGTTAATAAGTCTCACCAAATTTCATAACAAGTAAGGACTATAAGAAAAGGAAAATTGAAAGGTTGGTATGCTAAATTACTTGAAGAATATTTTCTTTGTTAAAGTCATGTGCTTTACTTAATTGTAAGGGTAAGGTAATCTCTTTAGCTTTTGCTTTTGCTTTTGCTATGACCGAAGATCTTTAAATAACCATTCTCTTGTTTTTCCCTTCAAAATATATAAAACATATTTTAATAAATAAATAATTATTATAAATATTTGAGGAGCGTCTGATGAGGAAAAAAAGGGTTTAAAAACTCTATAATAAAAAAATAAAAAGAATATCTTTCGAGTCTCTTGATTTTGCAGGTTATATATATATCACATATGAAAAAATATGAAGGAATATATATATATATCATATATCATATATGGTTATTTAAAGCCGTTTAAATTTAAATCAATTAGTATCATAATAATATAAATATTTACAATTAAATTTAAATAAAAAATCGAATAACTTGACTCGACTCGAATTTTATAAACTAAATTTGACTCGGAAAAAATATTCAAATAAAGTTTGAATCACAAAATAAGATTTGTCAACTCGACTAACTTAAATATATATTGACTCGACTCGATTGCACTCAATCGAATATTCACCTTTAGTAATGTTTTGAATAAGGGAATATTTTCGACAACATCCGATATTCCATGATCTGTATTATGTATTATCATGTGTCGTAATCGTGTAGTTTTTAGCACGTTGAATGAAAGAATTTTTTGGCACGACAAAGATAAGTTTATACATATAAGCAATATCGACACCAGAGGCGGACCCAAGAGCCTTTGTCAGGGGTTGCAAGAGCTCCAGGGGTGACTTTTGAGGGGTGACACTTGTGGAGGGGTTGCTTGGGATACCCCGGGCACTATGGAGGTTCACCCCTGGATGAGGGGTTGCCCGGGATACCCCGGGCTCCATGGAGGTCCGCCCCTGATCGACACAAAAGTCAAAACATTAACACGTTGAATAAAAGATTATATATGTTTAAATTCGCCCGTTAATATAAAATTCCGCATCTGTCACTGATAGTAAATAAGATTTTGTCACCATTACCCTCATGAACCCCATCTGGATCAAGAACTTCCACAGACTTTCATTCCATACAATGCTTTGGAAAGCCTGTTCACATAACGCGAACATTTCAAGTTAATGAGGACTTGTTTATTCGTTATCGTATTAATTTTCGACTCGCACTAGGCACAAACCCATTAGAGAGAAGACTAGTATCATAAATGCTTACATAAAAGCAACCCGATCGAAAATACAATCGCAACTATAATTTAAATCGCTGATTAAAACTACACGATTATTTCCTTATACGTTGCCATACTAATTGGCAATTACTCCATCCCCACTGGGCAGAAGCCAAAGATCCCCAAGTGACATTGTGGGCAGCATTGATAGTATTGGGTAGAGGAAACAAAAACTTGGCGCTGGAGAGGTGGCACTGGCCTGCACACATCATTCATATCGTTGTGACAATCTTGAAGCACAGAAGGTGACATTACTCTTTTAAAGCAGAAACGAATCTCCCTCTGGTATAGTTGGGTTGAGCCTTCAATTGGCATACTGCATGAGATTTGAGGATAGAATCCCACACTGTTTTTGACCATTTGTACTTTACAAATTTCTTTGATTATAGGGTACTACTTTATTATATCTCTCGACTATTAGAAGTTACAAAAATGTCTTCACACTATATAGTGTTGTTTGTTGAACCATTCAACTATCAAAAGTTAGTCCTTTTGATACAAAAATAAGTGCCTAAATTATATCCCAAATTGACTTTTAGTGTCTAAAAATTTTTTCGTTAAAAATATATATATAATGTTTTCTTTGTTACACTTTTAGAAACTTACCGTTATATTTATTTTTTATTTTTTAAATAAAAATTTGATTTTGCTAAAAAAATTTAAAAAATCGAACCTCTCGCGTCATCCCCCTCTCTCCCATTCCCCCACCTTTGATGGCGAAAGGTTACCACCTGTTGGGTTTTGATCGAAGCAGGGTGAGGAACTCAATGGTGCGGTCGTGTAAAGCATGAAAACTAGAGCCTTCGTAATTGCCAAAAAAAAGGGAACCCAAAAAACCGACGACCCTTTGCGGTGATTTTCACGATGGTCGGCGAGATCATACATCTAAAAGTGTAATATTAGAAACGCTAGATATCTATTTTTAACGAAAAATTTTTTAGACGCCAAAAGTCAATATAGGTTATAGTTTAGACATTTATTTTTGTATTAATCCTAAAGTAAAAAATAAGTACTCAAACTATGCATTCTTTTTGCTTAAGCACTTAAACTATTTTTTTGGTCAAACTAGGTCTTTAAACTATTATATTTAATCATTTAAAGTCCTATTATTTTAAAAAAAAAATATTTTTTGACCAATAAAATGTTGACACTTCACATTAAATTAAATATTTATTAAATATTTATTAGAAAATGTTAAAAAAAAGCGGGATTTAATCCTCAAATCTCATGCAATATAGGCACAAAGCAACTATACCTTAAGGAGCATTTGATTCAAGGAAAAGATCATTACTAAGGGAAATAATCTTTTTACGGAATTGCATTCTCACGTTTGATTCATGAAAAAGATTATTATCATGAAACAATCTATTCCCAATAGTTGCACTTTTTGGTTTAAAATGGTGGGAATGTCTACTTTCAAAGGCTTAGGTATTAGATAATTCTCACCACTTTGAACAATAATACCCTTAAACTAATGAATTCTTTTTATAATGATCATTTTTTATTCTTATATTTTGTACTTTACTCAAAATTATAAACATGATAATAACATACAAAGAGTTTAATTTAGTAAAATATTAATAAATTTGAGTATTTAAAATTATTTTATATTTTTAATATTCAATATATTAATTATTTATGATTTTATGAGGTGAAAAATAATATTATTGTAAAAATATGATTATTTAAAATAATATCTATCACCGATCAAACACCGATCGACCATTTAGACTCCTTTCGATCGCTCTCGAACATAAATTCGACGCCCCAAAATATCTCGGATACAATGCAATAGAAATTACGTCAGAAACGGAATTTAATCGGAAAAGCAAATCGAATCATAAGATAAAAAGCTGAAAAACTTACAGAGACAAAATGTACTCACACTTGAAAGAAAACCCGATAACTAATGCACCAGAAATCAAAATCAAGCAAGAAGTTTTAATCAATAAGAATATGAACTACTACTTTGACATCAATTACTGAGATGAAAAACTGAATCAAAGGCTCACAGGCATAACAAAATTCAAGATCGAATTCGGGACTAGTCGAAATGTACATCGAAAAAGAACAAAAGGGGATCCTTATTTCCATACAAACAAACAAAAATCATTCAGATTCATCAAAATCAATCAAAAAAGACCAATGCAATTGGCAAATTAAGCACTGTTTCTACAAGCATCGAACCTGAAAAAAGACAGCTATCAGTGAAAGGCCGGTAGATTTCACAGATGACAACAAATGGATCAAAATGGACGGGAATACTATGGCAAACTTTCATCTAACATTAGCAGATGAAGTATTGTCAAGCATTGAGGAGAAGAAGACAGCTAAGGAGATATGGGATCATTCACCAAATTATACGAGGCCACATCGCTGCACAATACATGGTGTCATGATACAACGTTATCACATGGTATTTGTACAATTTTTAAAGAAAAACATTGAAAAGGCATATGTATTATGAGATGATTTAGGAGCACGTGGTTCAAATTTGACAAAAAATGAACTTAAAATGAATGAGGAATTGAATGAATAATGATATCAATGACTAAATCGTAAAACAGTCAAAATACTAATTCAAGTTTTTGAATAAATTGGAATTTCAAAATTTCAAATCAACTTGAACTCGAAAACCGAATTGATAATTCGAGGTGACTCGAATAACTCAAAATTAAAAAAAGAAATTTGATTTTTTGAGTCGAGTCAAGTTTTGCTCACCCCTACTTTCTATTCGAGTTATAGATATATAAATATATGTTTATTATTTGATCCATATATTTTATATATGTGTAGATTACACGTTTAGTATTTAAAAGATCAATTTTAGTTTTTTTAAGTACCTAAATTTTTAATTTCTTGAAACCATACCTAAAGTTTAGGTTTTTGTTTCATTTTAATATCACGTTCAAAATTTAACGTTAACTTTTGGAAAAAAAAATTAAAAGTTTAGGTACTAAAACGGAGTAAATTTGATAGTTTGGGTACTAAACGAGTTAATTTTTTAACAGTGTGATACTAAAATGAAACAAAAATTAAACGTTAGGTATGATTTAAAAAAAATAAGTTTATATCCTAAAACAAACTAAAATTGATAGTTTAAGTACTAAATGTGTAATTTATCCTTTAGTATAGTACTAAATGTGTAATTTACCCTTTAGTATGTTGTGCCCATCATTAACATTCATTTATAAATTACTTTGATGTTCGGGTTGAAAGTGTAATAAAAACTGTGTAAGAAATATTCTTAAATTGACATTCAAACATAATCACACAATAATAACACTGGGAATCATTACATTGAAACATAATCACACAATAATAACACTGAGAATCATTACATTGAAACATAATCACACAATAATAACACTGAGAATCATTAACATTCATTTATAAATTACTTTGATGTTCGGGTTGAAAGTTTTCCAGCCCTCGAAGCAGTAGGAACGAAATGCGAAATCCTTTGAATTACTCTAAACCTTGAGAGTCCAGGCCACCAACATTTGAAGTGAGCAATATAGTTGCACGTAGACTCCGCACACTTGACAATTTCTCTTCGGCAACGCTGACCGCATGAGGAGCAGTTAGGGTAGTCCTCAGCCTTCCTATGAAACCGAACATCATGACGATGTCCGTGACGAGAATAAGGAGGCAATATGATCCCATCCTTGAGAAATGGAAATTCTCCAAGAATACAATCGGGATGAGCAGAAGTATCACAGATCGAACAACAATAATACCAGAGGCTCCGGTCTCTTTTTCCTTCACATATATCACAACGAAGATGCTTTGAATAATCATTATCATCGTGATAGGTGAGGTTTAGCTGATGTTCATCAATTTTGTGAACAACCGAATGTGGTAACGATAAGCATTTGAAATCCAAAGTAAAACTGCACTTTCCACATTTGAATGCACCTTCTTCACTTGGGTAAGCGCCACAACCATTGCATCGCTCCCTGCATTTGAAATCATAAAACAGCAAGTGCTCGTGTCCTTGAAATTCAATCACGTCAGGTACTTCAGCACACCTTAAGCAAACCCAGAGTTCTCCCATTTCGTAGAAGAAACCGCTACAAGGCCGATTGCACAAGAAACACCACATGAAGCTTCTGGAGTTGAGAGTGGCAGTATCTCGATCAATCCAATGACGCTTTACTCTTGGCAGCTCGGCACAGTTTTTGTGGAGATAGAAATGGCATTCTGATTCAGAGCAATAATAAAACAGAGTTGAGACAGGTAGCATGCACCCATCACATCTTCTATCAGTTTCCTCCTCCATCTTGTCCGCTAACACCATGCAATGACCTTCATGGCTGAAATGTTCAATCTTTGTGGCTTCCCCATCTTCACTCACCTCAACAACGCGAGTGATGGAAGGCTGCGTAGACTTAGATGAACTTCCATAGAGCTCCTCGCATCGGCTTTCTCGCTCAACCACCTCGTAAAATCTGTAATCCTCCAAGGCACAATTCACGTGAACGATGTAACTGCAACCGGACTTCACACAAGAGTAACTCCCACGCTCAAACTTCACTTCTTTGAAACAAATCTTGCAATCTTGCTTTGTAAGCTCTCGTGTTTGAAGAAAATATTTGTGAAAAAGACAATGATCATGTCGTGAAAATTTGATAATGCGTGGGAGTGAAATGCAATCTTTATGGACTGTGATGCTGCATGTAGAACATATGTAAGACATATAGTTCCCCTCGGTACTACATGCATCACAAATGAATGAACTTCTTCTCCAAAATAATGTGAATGAGTGTTGATGGTGGCTTTTATCTTCAGCAATGGATCTCGGCCAAGCACATATAATATTGATATTAAAATTACAAAGAGAACAATAATAAAAATATCCAGGATGTTGCTTTTGGCATAGCTTGCAAAAGGAATCAGTCACATTCGAGTCAAGAAAAAGAGAGTGTATTAGATGGGAAGGGTGATGAATTTCAGCAGGTAACTCATCAAAGCATTTTTTATGGAAAACAAACGATGGGCATTGAAAACAAAAGTAAAAAGCATCTATTAATGGTTGATGACACCAAAAGCAGTTGAAACTTTTGAATTCATCCGTGGGACTTGGAATGAAGGTCAATGGATGTGGGTGGAAGTCATGTTTGGACTCTTGGTTGACCTTACTACATAAAGAAGACAAATCAGCGCATTTGATGTCAAGGGAAAAGAAACAAACATGGGAAAATAAACTAACATAACATTCATAAAAGAACATGTTGCGTTTCTCCTTGCATAATGCACAACCATATACCCGATTATCAAGACGTGGCCTTTCTCGAAGGGAAAAACCAGAGTGCTGGGGATGGAGAGGGTGACTGGAAATTGTCTGGGGTGCGAGGGCACAGTTGTTATGAAGGTGATAATTGCATGGTGCACAACTAAAGCATGGATCTGAAATCACATCCCCACAGGCTGAGCAGTAAGATTTCTGACCTTCATTGCTTTGATCTTCCACAAACACCAAGGGGTGCTCATGAAAAGGATGATTAATCTCTCTCTTCTTCTCCATCTCCATTTGTGTTCTGTGAGTAATGAATGAGATGGCAGTGTATGATGACTTCTTGTTCTAACAATAAATAGGATTTTTTTTTTATAAAAAAATGTATTTCTAACATTAATCTTGGCAAGTAAGGTACAAACAAGAGTGACTTGAATTGAAAGCTAAACTTTGATATGCTAAAGATTCACTCTTCTCTTTGGTTAAAGCATTATGCTTTGCTTATTTGCAAGAACAACCCTTTTCCTTTTGCTAGAACTCATAACACTTTAAAAAATTTCAATGGCTTCTCCATTATTGTATACATATAAATTATATATGATTTTAGAAACTAAATTATATATGATTTTAGAAACTAAATTACAATAATACATATAAATTTCAATGGCTTCTCTTTGGTTAAAGCATTGTGCTTTGCTTATTTGCAAGAATAACCATTTTCCTTTTGCTAGAACTCATAACACTTTTAAAAAATTCAATGGCTTCTCCATAATTTTATACATAAATTATAATTATGAATATCTTGAAGAATAGTTAACAAAAAATTTAGTAATAAATATAATCACAATTATATGATTTTAGAAAATAAATTACAATAATATATAAGTGAAAAATGACAAGATTAAGGGGAAGCTATCTTACCAAAATTTTTGGAAAATAAGGTATATATGCAAAAATAAAAATTAAAAAAATTAAAGCTTGATATGCTAAATTATTTAAAAATACTTTCTTTATTGAAGTATTGTTCTTTCCTAAAATGTAAGAGTAAGGTAATTAATCACTTTTATTCTCACTTTTACTTTTGCTTAGATTTTTGAAGAAGCAGACTCCCTTTTATTATTTTTTTAAAATTTATAAAATATTTTTTTATATATGTATAATTATTATAAATATTTTAAAGATCAACCGATGAAAAAATAATTAGGTCTGTAAACAAACACGAACGAGGATGTATTCATGTTCATTCCTTTAACTTTAATCGAATGAACACAAAGTATTAAATGGACAAAATTTATTGTTCGTGTTCATTTGTTGAAGAATGTAACTTGTTCGTGTTCGTTCGTTAAAATGATAAGCAAACACAAACAAACAAATAGGCAACAAAATGTGGGATTTTATCCTCAAATCTCATGTAGTATAGGCACAAACCAACTATAACTTAAAGGGCGTTTGGTTCTTTATGATCATTACCAACAAAAAATAATTTTTTCGAGAAGGCATAATATCAAAATTAGCCCCTAACTTTTATCAAAATGGTCATTTTGTAGTATTTTTGACCCTCAACGTTTTATTTTAGGGCAAAAAGACTCCTACCATCTGATAGAATAATCACTTTGTTACTTATTATTTTTTTATCCGAGGCATTTTCGCCCTCAACGTTTAATTTTAGGTTAAAAAGCTCATATTTTGGAGCGTTAATCGCGTGTTAACTGATGATTTTCATTTATTTTTGTCCAAAAGTGAAATGTTGAGGGCCAAAATGTTCCAGAAAAAACATATATCACACAGATAATTAAGAAAAATATGCATTCAAATAATCTTTATATTCTTCTAACCAAACATTATAATTTTATATTCTCATACTAATTTTACGTTTCAATGATATTATTTCCAAAGATAATCTTACATTTCGTGGACCAAATACCCTCATAATAGTTTAAAAACTTAGTTTGACCAAAAAATAGTTTAGGTACTTAAAGCAAAAAAATGACATAATTTAAGTAGTTTTTTGGTTTAAGCCTTGTTTAATCAATTTTTGAAAAATTAAAATTATGAAAATTTAATTTGTCAAACTCAAAAAACTGAGATTTTATTTAGTTTAGTTCTTTTAGTATTACCATCGGTATTTAATATATCGCTAATCCAAATTAGATACTATAGAGGTAAAGAAGACTTTCTCAACTCAATTAGCTACTTCACAAACTAAATAACTCAATTAAAGCTGTCTACACAGTTAGCTGCATCTGCTGCCCTTAAAAATAAACTATCAGCATGATCTTGTTGAAATGGCCAGAAAGCAGCCTTCAAATTACTCAAAACCTGCAATCATGGAAGTATTTGAGAAAAACCCGGGGGGGGGGGGAACATAGAAAATGCAATGTATTTCTTGTAAAGAACATAAACCGGAGGAGGTTAAGCCAAACTACTTACATTTCCTGTACTCGGGGTAAGTGTCAGATACAGGTTTAAGTCTGAGATAGTTATACTCAGTTTTTCCCCCAAGTTTTTAAATATATTTGGGGAAACATATCATCATATCCATATGCAAATGTGTTGGATACAAGTATTGGACACGGATATTTTATGGAACATGAAAACTCGAAGCAACATGGCAAAACTTACAACCGTTATAGCATCACATGAATGTAGTTGGAATCTAAAATAGCATCATTAGCTTCTCATGAGACAGGAGAAAAAGAACAGCAAAAGAGAACGGTTATAATTAATCAAACAATTAGCAATCATTTTAGGTGATTAGTTTCTTGTTTTCAACTCATGTTCCACTTGTCCCAGCATGAGAGTAAATTAAAAGAAGCAAAAAGAACGAAAAACAGAGAAATGGTCATAACTTATTGTAAGCATCAAGTGTCCGTTTTTCTTTAATTTCACTTAGATAAGATTTAATGTATAAAAATGTAAGAAATCAAAGGGTCAAGAGTATAAACATCACCTCTTCCGATAACATTTGTACTGTCAATATGTGGGGCTGATCAGATTCTTTGCTCTTTTACTTATCATAGGCTCTCGGAAGACCATCATGATCACGAGGAAAGGAAATCTCTATATCAAAATCCAAAAGGCCCCACATTTGAAACATTTTCATGATCTCACTGTGTATGAGCGAAAGCATTAAAGCAGAACCTGAACGATGCATCAAAACCTGCTCAAACTGTAAAGATTAACTAACTGAAAAAATTCAACATAAAAGGGTATGTCATTCAGAAGTAAATAAAAAATGATAAGATAGAAAGGCTGTCCTTCATACAGAGTGAAGATAGAGGGCTCGTGGCTCTGCTTGGTTCTTGGTCATAGATCTCCAAAAGCCCTGCGAAGAAGTTATTGGATTAACCAGTTAGAAAAACAGACGGTCACATGAACAGTTAATAAATAAACATCCAGCTCAGTTGGTAGAGTATAATGTTCTTAACTTTGAGGTCGTGGAATCAAGTCCCACGGAAGGCATTTCAGAGGTCTTTTACGGAAACTGCTCTTAACCTAGTGTTAGGGGCAGCCTACTATCTTATCTCCCCTTACCTCATTACATATGGGAACAAGGGACATCCATTTTTTCTTTATATGCTCCATAGACTTGAAAATGGCATTTACCATTTGGTAAGACATTAAGTTATGAGCAAACAAAAAAAATCTTACAAATACCTTTCTGACATACAAATATTTCTCTATGCTCTCCAAAAAATTCTCCCGTTACGACCTGTATAACGAATTATAGTGAGAGCAGTAGCCCATGGAAAGATCGTCCAATCTTTCGAGAAAAGCATCCACCGGCAAAGGAATAGAAGAACGTGAAACGAGAGAATCATCCTCCGCTGCTATGTAAAGAGCAGTTTTCCAGAGATCAACGCCTCTATTTATACTAATACTTGTTTCCCTCTCGATATTGGATAATTCTTTAATTTGTTGAATGAAGCCCTTCCTGCTCAAAGATCATTCAGAAGAAAACATTTTAGATATAAACTTTAAACAATTAACTATATCAAACTTGATATATCATTCAAACATCATTGAGCTTAACCTATCATGTTGTTCGTTCTCGTATATGTGTGACTCTAAGTGGGGCATAAAGACCTAAATCAAAACCTCTATCCTCCACAAGAATCAAAACTATAACATTCAAATCGAGAGTTTCCATTCCTAATCAAATTGAGAGTCAGCCGTAACTTTATCAATTCTTGGCAGATGATAAAAAAACCAAAACAATGACATAGAGGATGAATAAAGTTCATTTAACATTGATTAGAAGCAATCAACTGAGTTTTAAAAAGAAATTTCCATGGGAAACTACTCAAAATCCATTAGATTAAACTAATTCTAACATTTCTCCAACTACATTCCGAAATGCAAACAATAGTTTCCTCTTTACAGTAGAAAAGGAGGAGGAGGAGGAGGAGTACTCTAGCGTGAGAGGTATCGATTCCAGAAGATTCAAGGGCATCTTGCAAGGCGAAGTCGAAATCGGTGGAAGCAGCAGCAGAGCCCGGAAAGGATCGACCACAGCGGACGAGACGGAGGTAAGACGGCGGAGATAATGACGTGATTCAATGAATCTTGGAGGATTTAGGAGGAAAAGGATTGAGAATCGTTAGTGAACAAGATGAACTCATCATTGCTTCGTTAATGGCGACGAGAACCAGGAGTGTCTAGAGTGATTAATAATCAAATTTATTTATTTATTTTTGTACTTAATTAATTATATAATCTGCAAAATATCCAACAGATATTTTTATATAGGTTAAACTACACATTAGTCGTTGAATTATAGAGACCCTTTCATTTTAGGCACTGGCTTATTAAAATTTTAATAGCCAATTGCATCATATATCCCCAAACTATGACACTCATTTCAAATTAGTCCTTAAACTTTTAAACATTCCAATTAAATCCTCAAACTATGACTCTCATTTTAAATTAATCCTTAAATATTTGAACATTGTAATTTCATCCCAAACTATGAATGTATAATTTACCCAAAATTTTTTATCAGAAAAGCTAACATGACTTCTATTCCAAGAGTCCACAACATGAACCTTCTGGGATATAGTCCGACAGTTTTAAGATCAAAAGCTTTCATGGATAGGCTTGGACACCACCAAGATATGTTGCATTAACCGATGCAGATCCTTCGGTAGCAAAGTCGTCCCACGAATCGGTTGACAATACGACGAAATCAGAGAACTTTCCGGTCGATAGAGATCCCATTTCGTTCTCGAGAAAGCATGCCCGAGCAGCTGAAATCGTGTGCCTGTCATGATGAAACCAGGAAAAGCATCTGCTAAAAGCATTGGAACGAAGACCGGGGGATTTCGTTTTCTCAAAAGCACCCATGTCCGATACCCGCGTCAGTGTTCGGTACATTTCGGACATGGATATGGAGGTATGATCCTCAAATATAGGAAAAAAATCAAGCATACTTGTGACAGTCATATATCCATATATATCCAACACCAATTCCAGGTATAGAAATTTAAAGCCAGTGCAGATAGAAGCAAATCATGATAAAGTAAACGTGCTTCGATGAAAAGCCAATGCAAAATCCGAAGAGAAGCATAGGAATTCTATTGAGAACAATGATTTTAAGTTTTTAACAGTTCAATTCGAAAGCTCAAATGATTTTTTTTATCAAGGAATGTATGGTTACTTCCTAGAGATTATGGTACAAGCAGCATGCAGCAAGCGTTTATATGTCGAGAACGAATAAGTACGCATCGAAGACTCGGAGAAAATGTAGTTCTAATGTTGCTTACCCGATTAAGGCGTCGTTCAGTGAAAGGCGTTCGGACGGAATCCAAGCATTTCCCCAGCCAGGAGGAATTCTTTTCATTGCTGTTCTTATGGCACGCAAAGGATAAGCACTTGTAACCTGGAGTAACAACAATAAACGGAGTGCCAAAAAGAATTAAAACCTGTACTGATGCAACAATCTAGCCGCTGTGCCCGGGGTCAAATGCTGGGCATGTTGGTTTTTGGCAAAAGTCCCACATTGGTTGTGTATAAGGAGGAGGGGAAATTCTTTTGTTATAAATAAAGCCCTCCTCCTCCTTAGTTAATCATCCAACAAATATAAGCCTTCTTCTATTTTAAAGGCTATTTGTATTCTTTTTCTCTTTGTAATATTTCCTCTATTAGTGAAATATTTTGGTGTTCTCTTTTATGTCTATTTAATAGCTATTATCGGGTATAGTTGTTGTTAATTATTGTCCTATTAAAATTACTTGTCTTGGTAGTTCTGTATAAGGAAAGTGGGTTTTAAGAGGGACCATTGTGACCCCTCCTCTTTCCTAGGAATCTACCTTGGGGTGATTTTTAGTACAATCGTTTTCACACTAGTCACCTAGATAATAGTTTTCAAGGTGAATTGTTATTTGTGGAAATTAACCCAAATTCCACAACAATTGGTATCAGCGCTCTTGGTTTATTTTAGTATGCTCTGTGGTTGCGGCTTAGGCTGATCTTGCACATCAGAAAAATTTCCTTGGGATAATTGACATTCCGCATTGGCAGCTATTAAATAGAATTTGTAGCAGAAATGGCAGACGCTTCTTCATCTTCAATTTTGGCAAGAAATGCTGTGACAAATGTTAGATTTGCAGTGGAGATTTTTGATGGCACCGGTCATTTCTGCATGTGGCAAAGCGAGGTTCTAGATGCCCTATTTCAGCAGGGTCTAGACATTGCTATTGAAGGAGAGAAACCAGATGATGTTGAGGAGAAAGAATGGAAGAGCATCAATAGAATGACATGTGGTACTATTCGATCGTGTCTTTCTAGAGAGCAGAAGTATGCATTTTCTAAGGAAACTTCTGCAAGTAAATTGTGGAAGGCACTGGAGGAGAAATTTTTGAAGAAAAGCGGTCAGAACAAACTCTACATGAAAAAGAGATTGTTCCGCTTCAACTATGTACCAGGTACCACTATGAATGATCACATTACTAGCTTTAATCAGCTGGTGACTGATCTGATGAATATGGACGTGACTTTTGAAGACGAAGATCTGGCTCTGATGTTGATGGGATCACTTCCTGATGAGTTTGAGTATCTTGAAACTACTCTACTTCATGGGAAGGTTGATGTGTCTCTCAGTGAAGTAACTACTGCCTTGTATAGTTATGAATTGAGAAAGAAAAACAAACAAGAAAACACAAGTGTCGAAGCAGAAGCTCTTGTTGTTAGAGGCCGTTCCAAGAGTCAGAATAAAGGAAGCAGAGGGAGATCAAAGTCAAAGTCCAGATTGAGCAAAGATGAATGTGCCTTTTGTCGAGAAAAAGGGCACTGGAAGAAAGAATGTCTCAGGCTAAAGAATAAAGGCAAACCTGAAAGGGGGAAGGCTGTCTTAGAATCAAATGTGGTCGAGTATGATGATGGAGATTCAGATTTTGCATTCGCTGCTACGCCATCAACCAGCTGTTCCAGTTCATGGCTGTTAGATTCAGCTTATAGCCACCATATGACCCCCAATAGAGAATGGTTCTTTGATTTTAAAGAACTAAAAGGTGGAATTGTCTACACAGCAAATAATTCCCCTCTTGACACACTTGGGATTGGTTTAATTCGCTTGAGGAATCAGGATGGATCAATCAGAACCTTAACATGTGTCCATTATGTACCAGATTTAATGAGAAATCTCATCTCTGTGGGAACCTTAGAGTCAAAAGGTTTAGAAGTGAGGGCAAAAGATGGGATTATGAGGATTATCTCTGGTGCACTGGTGATAATGAAGTGAATCCGAAAAAGAAACAATGTGTATTACTTTCTGGGTAGTACAATTGTTGGGACAGCAGCAGTGGCAGCTTCTACTGATGAACAAGAGTCAGAAGCAACCAGGTTATGGCATATGCGCTTGAGGCATGTTGGTGAAAAATCCTTGAAATTACTGATAGATCAAGGATTATTAAAGGGTGCTCGAGCTTGCAAATTAGCTTTTTGTGAGCATTACATCAAAGGGAAGAAGACGAGGGTGAAATTTGGAACATCAATCCATGATACTAAAGGTATTTTGGATTATGTTCATTCAGATGTATGGGGGCCTTCCAAGACAACTTCATTGGGAGGAACACACTATTATGTCACCTTTGTTGATGATTTTTCCCGGAGAGTTTGGGTGTATCCAATGAAGACAAAGGATGAGGTGCTATGATTTTTCCTTAAATGGAAAAAGATAATGGAGACTCAAACAGGCAGAAAAATCAAACGTCTCCATACAGACAATGGTGGAGAGTACAAAAATGATCCATTTCTGAAAGTCTGTGAAGAGGAAGGTATTGTTAGGCACTTCACTGTCAGAGGTACACCACAACAGAATGGGGTGGCAGAGCGTATGAACCGGACATTAGTGGAGAAGGTTCGGTGTATGTTGTCTAATGCTGGGTTAGGCAAAGAATTTTGGGCTGAGGCTTTGGTCTATGCTTGTCACCTTGTCAACCGCTTACCATCGACTGCTATTGGTGGTAAAACACCATAAGAGAAATGGTTTGGAGTACCTGCTACAGATTATGATTCCTTACATGTGTTTGGTTCCACTGCATACTACCATGTTAAGGAGTCAAAGCTGGATCCAAGAGCAAAGAATGTGATCTTTATGGGGATCACCTCTGGTGTGAAAGGCTATCGTCTTTGGTGTCCAGAAACAAAGAAAATAATCTTCAGCAGGGATGTTACCTTTGATGAATCTACCATGTTGAGAAAGGTGACTTCAGAAAAATTTGAGCAGACAGATGGAACTCCCAAACAGGTGGAGTTTGAAGGAAGCAAATTTGTCCCAACCAGTAAAGAAACTGATGTTG